CTGAACATGTTCCGACCAGAAGACTGTGGGAGGGTGTTCCACATCCGGGTCCATCCAGTGTCACAGCCAGACATTTCATCAAGATTGCGGCAAACATCTTCCAGTTCTTAACTTCCAACTTCCAGTTCATGAAGACCATCTTCATCCATCAAACCGACCATCCAACTTCCATCAAAGCCCCACTTACACCCAACTTTCACCTCTTCCGTCCCCAAACTTGGTTCCTTCCGCCATGCAAGTGGACCGACCGACCTTTTTGGTGGTCGAGGAGGTCTGGCCATCCGCGATCACTTGAAACGTCTCGAACCGAAACGGACCAGGAACGGACCTTTCGACGTATAGAACGGCACGTTTTAGGAACGGGCACCCGGGCCGCACCGGGCCGCACGGGACCAGCGCGGCATTTGCGTGCGGCACGTGCCGAGCTGCGACTCCGCACGGCGACTCCAAGGCCATGCCGGGGTACTTCCTGGCGCTGCCTGGCTTGGTGGATCCCACCGTGGCCGCAGCGCTGTGGGGGTCCACAGTGACCGGGTGGGGGCGAGTGTTTCGGGGCCGGGAGAAGAACCTATTTGTAAGAAGAGATTTGATGGGTAGGGTGAGTCAGGGGTGGTCAAGAGGGCCACTTTCCACGATATCGGTGCATGGGAGTGGTTGTTCATCCAGATCCAACATTCAATGCCTGATTTATGTGTCCAGTCTCAGTGCATAAACATTTGCCTCTATTTTGGAGCAGCCACATCCCCAGAGACCATCGAAATGAATTGAATTATACCCGAGCAGCTCCCAGACTTTGAGAGATCCTTTAAGTCTCCCCAGTCCTATTTAGCTTAGGCTCCCCTTTGATGAGCGTGAAGTCGTTGCTTGCTTGTCAGTCTTCCGTTGTGAAGCACATAGCCAATGAAACCAACTTGCCCATTGTAGAGTGCCGAGCTCATCATCTGAAAGACAAAGGGTCAGCTGCTGCGTAAACGTTTCCACTCGCAAGAACTGCATGGTACCGTAGGCAAATTGGAACAGTAACGCTCCAAAACCTCACGTTCGTAGATTTCCCGTAGGCGATGTGGAATAAGCCATGTCTGTCGTAGGCTTTCACTGTGGAAACGTAGCCAAACCGTAGGGTTCTACGCAGGCACCCAAGGATGATAACACCACCACATCTATTAAAAAATCCCTGCTCAAGTGAGGCCCAAACAGCCAGACATACTTTGAGGCCCCAGGCCCGGTCAGGCGCCGAGGGCCGAGTGCTTCGAGGATCCCACACGGAACTGAGGTTCACAGGGACCTTCTTGACCTCTTCATCGGCACAGACCATGAATCAAATGATCGAGGCAGCGCGGAGCGCGAGCGGCAGTGGAAGGGTGAGCTCCCAAGGATTTTGTTTTCTGTGGCCGAAGGTACGGCCAAAAAAGAAGTTCTCACCAACAGGAAGCTTTGAACATGTTGTCATTCTCTGAGGTATCTAACGTGCGTTTTCAGCATACTGCAGGATCTCCTGCCAGGCAAAGCAATCCTATGGATCCAAGGTAGTGCGGCAAACAATGTCCATCAATGCATTGATGCATTTCATATCCAGATGGTGCCATATGATGTTTGCCCTTTTGGGTTGTGGTATAAGTACACCATAGAAATACACATGGCCATTGGATTTGATGGTTTTGGACACCTGTTTTTACTAATATGCAAATAGGTACAGTATCTATTACAATTACAATAAGATATAATCTGTATTCAGTAGCAACGCATGAGATGTCAACAGATGATCGGTGGTATGGGCATTGGCCTTGAGAGGGGCCGGACTACCTCCTTGTGCAGGGTGATGAAGGAGATGCATGTACAGACTACTGGCAACGACAAAGGCTGCAAGAAGTGCCAAAGACGAATAGTAAACCACCTACCAACAAATACACTTCCATCAATCTCCCATGTCAACAGAAACACATTCTGTCTTTCAGAAACTCTTTTCCCTGGGTTTCTGCCAGTCCCTCGCCTTCTCAGCACCTGTTGGGTCAGCTTTTGACCTGCCAGGTGCAGCGCGATGCCCGCATGAAACGCACAGCGATGCGGCCACTACCGCAGCTTGGCGATTGATTCTCATCCCTGGGTGGATGTCACCCACGTCGCCGATGGCTCCAGGTCTGGGCAATTGAGCCTCACGGAGGCTGCTGGCGGGAGAGCTCAGTCGGAGGGACTTGTAGGAGTTGATCTGTGGCCGTCTTTCAAGGAATCAACGCCCATGGAAGTGGACCGTGTTTTTTTTGTTTCTACAGAAACCCCCCCATTTCCACTGCATTTTTTGTGGCTCGATTGGCCCTGATGCCTTAGAGCTGTGGCTCACCACTATATACATGGCAAGCATGTGTCGACTACTGATGAACGACTCCCCTCCTCTCCAGAAATGGATCTTTAGGCATTGAGGGGTTTGATTCATCAGCTGTTTACATGATGTGATGTGAGCAACTGCGATCTGCGGCGAAATGTATAGAGCTTCTTGTCACCGCTGCCCATTGCAAGTGATTTTTTGGGTACGACCGCATGCCGTACACCGATCATGCATGTTGCCACGAAGAGGATCTAGCCAACAGAAAGGTTGATGTCAATCGCCTTCGCCCATTTGGGGTGTCGTTCTGGTGACCTGGCGTCCTTTTCACGTTTCTCCCTTCGGCTGAACGGGACGCCGCCGGCCTTGCGAATGTCGGATCGCATTTCGGATCGGATGCGGATCGTGCGATCGGCCACGGTGAAGAATTCGGTGAAGAGTTTTATTCGGATCAATTACACCCAACCAATGGGTAGACTGGCTTGTTTTCTTCTTCCGGGTCGAATTGGGAGGTCTCCGAGGTCTTGCTAGATATCCTATATTTTAATACACACCCAATTGAGTCGCTGAAGGGCCGCATAGTCCGTTTTGCTTGGCCATCCGTTGGTCTTCCAAGGCTTCGCCACTGGATCTGGGCTCGTGGGCTTGGGTGTCCTAGCGGCCACTTGGCATGCAGATGGGCGTGGGACAGAAGAAGTGAAGACCTCCAGGATTTGACCCGAAACGGATTGAACGAGAGGAGAACATATAGACATAGATCCGCCCGTGGTGGGTTGGCAGTGGATTGGCCAAGAATGAGGTAAATTTGCAGACCAAGGCTTTTCATTGGGATCTGTGAGGTCGAACAAAAACGTCCTCTTCGTAACTCAGGGGTAACTCCGCCACACACTCAGACTGTCAACAATATAGATAAGCACTTGTAGCTTGATCCCTGAGTGAGGTTCCACATGTTGCTTTGGATTGGGTTTCCCTACTCCAGAAACCTCAAAGTCAGTGCACGGTTCCACCGTGTTCGCAGCCCACCTAGGTCGGCACCACCCCACCCACAGCCGCTGTGGCCACGTTGACCATGGTGGCTTCGGCACTGATGTGACCCACAGGGGTGGATTCCAGGAGGGAAATTGCCATGTGAGCAACCACATCGTCTTGGGGCGATGGGTCAAGCATCACTCATATCCCCCGCAAAAACGCCAGCGGTTCCGGAGTGGTTTGAAGTCCCATCCAGCGAGTGGAGAATGGGTAGGGCCCGCCGCCAAGGGGCGGCGAAACGAACGACTGGGCTTCCGGTTTCGCTCTTGGGGCTTTCAGCTCAGGTCTCAAATGGCTTGGCACGTGACGCCGTTCGTGCCACGTCCGTGTGCCGTACGCCTCTTCGTGCACAGGACGTCGGTGTCGGACGCCTCTTTGTTGACCGTGTCGTTGAACATTGGACCGCCAATTCTAGATCTGGTCGTGGGAGAATCGTGGGGGCTTCAGCGCCGCCCATGCTTTTTGATCAGTCGTTTGTCCCGGTGAAGTGAGGCAGGAATGCTGCGTAACTTTTCTATCGCCTGAAAGAAGAATCCAAAAGAAATCATGTGTAACTAGCCACTCCTGCATGTGGGAAATCGTTTTCATTTTTTTGGGTTGCCTCATCGGTTGCTGTCATGGTGACCCATATGGACTGCTCTCAATGGTGCCTCATCAGCGGTTTTGGTGTGTGAAACCAGTGCGTTGGCGCGGGGTATGGGTTCTTCCTGGGCAGATACATCGTATGCTGCTTGAAGAGGAAAGACGACTGAAGTTGAAGCACGACATACCCAAACAACCAGGACCCATGGTTTTCAATTGTTGGAGAGTTGTTGGACGAATCCTCCAGAGAGCACCTACACTCATCCTAATGAGACGAATGAGACCAATTCCTCCAAATGCGGTGCGGTCTACATGAGGCGACCTATGCTGCGGTCTACACGCCCCTGAAGGCCACGGTTGGTCGCTCAAAAGGGTTCTTCGACCACTCGACCGGGTCAAGTTGGGAACGTTTCTTTTGTTTACACCACGTCCAAGATGGCCCTGACAACAACGAGTGAGCCCTCCGGAAAAAACAAACAGCACACCGAAATAGGAGAAAAGAACCTCTCGGAGATTCTGAGAGCCTCTTGGTCGTTGGTGATTTGTTTTTCACATCCCATACCTGTCGGGTGACTTCTCAGTATGACCATGTACCATGCTATGTAGAACCATACTGAGGTATGGGATGATATACCATTAGTATATGCTCCTCAATTTGAATGACTCCCTTGTTGCTACCATGGGATGAACCAAATGTACCGCTGGAACCCTTCGATCCCATTTCGCTACCCGGAAACCCTTCGGGCCAGGTGCGAAGCCCCTACAACACTCACGTGGGTGCCATCAGTGGGCCGGAGCTCCTGGTTGACCGGACCGGATCCACCGCGGAGCCGGGGAACGGATCACCGGAGCTGTTCAGCTGTATCGAAATGCCACGCCTCACCCTCATGAGGTCATTTTCCCAGAAAAACCCACCCACTCCAAACTGCTGCAACATCAATCTCATCCTGCGGACCTATTGGCCATTGATGCAAACACACCCTGACACCAAATTCGGACCCATGGGCCATGGAATCATTCATCCAAGCCGTGGGCACCCAGGTCGTTGCCCACATTGATGGGCTTTACCGCAGCCTTGGGTACTGGCCTAGCAGCCACACGGCCATCTATTGGGACGGAGTGCATCACTTCAAAGGTGCATCACTTGCAACAGAATCATCAGAAAACCAAGGAGACTTTGAGCTTGGAGCATTGATGTTCTTTCTTCTTATATTTTCTTGTATAAATATCCTGATCACCCAAACATTTGGATTTCATGCTTGGGTGTTATAAGATGAATTGAACCGAGCAATCCTTGGTCAGACGTTTCGCATTTTTTTCGGTTGCCTCTCTCAATATGGGCCAAATAAACAGATCAGATTTACTACTCTGTACATCAAGACGGTTGGATAGGGGACAGGATTATGCGGCTGGTTGTTTGCCCGTCAACTAAGTGACCTGCCTTTCTTGCTTTGTGCCTTTGTGCCTTGTAAAATCATGATTATTCGACAAAGGATAGCTGCTGTATCCAGACTTTCCAGCCCTTGGATAGGGAGACCAGCGAGTTTTGGTCGATTTTTTCCTGACATTCCAGGGGGTCTTCTAATCTCAAGATGCAACTCAGTCCCCTTTGGAGTGCGGGAAAGGACGATAGGCCTCTGGAAGACAAACATCCTCTGTCATGAGCTCAAGGATCCGATAAATCAAGACCTCCGGCTTCAGGCACCATTGACAGTACTGATATGTATATAATGATTTTATCATTCAACCAAGTTATCCTTTCATGTTGCTGATCCCTGGTCCACCAACATCTTCCAATCTACATACAGGAATCAATAAACATTTCGTAAATCAAGCCACCAGTGGATCTGAAGACGTTTCCCTCCTTGGGAAGAAAAGAAAACGGTGGCAAAGTCGTTTTTCTTTTTTACTTTCTAGAAGCTCGTGTCATAGTGATGCAAACAAACCTAAATCATCAACCTACGCACTAAACAGCCTACCGTCATATCTAGCCTCGCCGGAGACATCATCAACGCAAAGTTGCCAACTGACCTGACCGCCAAGCTGTCAACCCAGCCAAGCAGGCAAGCCAAGAACCGTGCAAATTAGCATCACCTAAAGACAATTATTCAACTAGTCTTGGAGTTCCAGGGACTATACATAACTACCCTCCTGCAGATGAATGAACCCATAACCAAAAGTCTCGCATCGTCCCAGTCTCGCATCGGCGGTGTTTTGCGCCCAGTCCTCCCAGTGGCTGGCGCCGGCCATGTGGATCTTCGGGTGCCTTGACGGCCGATTTTTGTGAAAACGACGCAAACCGAAACAACGACCGTCTTTGGGAGTTTCATGCTGGTTTTTTCAAGACAAGAAGGGTGGTTCTGTTCGGGGGTAGAACAGGTAGAACAAAAGTGGAAAAGGTGTCTGCAGTTTTGGTGAGGCTTTCACCTGAATACTTCAATCTACTCAATGTAGATACGCAACTCGGGATCGCGTAAACCCACGGTTTCTGGAGGAAGAATCACCTAATTAGGCGTGATCCCTTGGCTTCTGTCAACCCATATCACACGAAAGAGCATTTCAGAGCGTTCATCCACCGGCATTCATTTTATTGTATGTGTTGTTTTGCGGCGGTTTGTGATATTCCAGCTTGTCGGCTCCAACACAAGATGTATGGTGTATACGCCGAGCTGGCATTTGAGCGCATACTCATTTTCTTTCATCCTTCGGTTCCTACAGCTCCAGCTGAAGAGGCCTGTTGCTCCTGGGCACCGTCCTGCTCGGTCAGCCCGAGGATGCAAACCCTGTGGCAGATGCCACACTTCTATGCCCTTGCATGGCTGAGAGCTGAGGTGTTGAAGGTGGAGCAATGAAGAGCAGGGAGGTTGGAATTACAATGAAGTACATCAAGTGAGTCGTAGGCTTCTTTTGAAGATAGACCCTAAGAGGATTCAGGGGCGGTTGGCGAGCCTCAATGGGTGAGCCTCTTTGAGGATAGCTGACAGGGCATTGATAGCGATGACCCATCCAGTGGCGTTTTGGTCACCCATTGTTGAGATTCACTGTACCTCGACGCTTCCACAAAAAATAAAGGGTTGCAACATCGTGTGGTTTTAGCAGAGGTTGCCGTCCATGTGAATCGTTGCCGCTTGTGAAACGTGGGAGGGACAGGAGGATTTCATCAAATTTGATGGGATACGAACAGAACACGCCAGAAATTCTTGGAGATCCACGTGGAAGCCCAAACACTGTATGATTCAATTCGTTCTATATTCGTAAAAGAACCTTTGGTAGTTGTTAGGAAAGGCGCTGGTTCTGTGATATTCTTGGAGTGAGAAGGTTCTCCTTCCGACCCTGTGCATGCTACCGGGGCAAGTGGAAGTGACTGATACAGATGTGTGTGTGTGTGTCCACACGATGCATTTTATGGCGAGTCATCCAGCATTGTGATAAAGCACAATACAAATACAGTACCGGTTATATAAACAGAGTCGGAGTCACATTTTATAGCTAGCGAGCTTTTTGGACCTCTTCAGAGAATTGACGGAGTGTGGCCAGTTGCAGATCTCAGGGTAGGGATGGAGTTTCTTCGAAAGAGGCTTCGAGAAAGACTGCTGGTTTTCAGAAGTCTTTGTTGTCCTTCTTTCCTTTCTTACGGAAGCTTTTTCAACGAGGGCCGGGGTGTGAATGTGAAACAGGTCCGCAGAACGCTCACTGTTTGGAAGGTCTTTGAGGTTAACATGCGTTTCCCACCCCAGGGTGTTTGCACCTCAGGTTGCATCGAGCCGATTACATCCAGGGCGGATACAAGATGCTCCTTGGTGATTTTGTGGGCAGACCGCATGAGTTAAAGAGCCAGGGTCTTTGTGTGGTTTTTGTTGCCTCCAACTCACCAGAGAGACTATTTTTTTTGTGATTGTTGGTTGCTCAAAGTGAACACGCTTATTTATAGCATCCTCCAAAACAGATAGCTTCGGATAGTTTCCTTCAGTTTCTGTTGGCTCTTGTTGATTCTGAACCAGTTTGGCTGAAACCAAAAACTCACCTCTCTTGGCAACACCCTAAGAGCCGAGCCGGCTCTCAGAGCCTGGCCACGAAAAATGGTCGATCAGCCCACTCGCTCACCGGCCTTACGTTGTCACGCGTGTGTGAAAGACCAAATTGGTGGAGAAGAATGATCAAAGATAACCAAAGCTCTAAGTCATTCACTGCTATCAATGAGCAATCCTTTTTGAACAAACCTTTTGGCCAGGACTGCTGAAATCTGCTGAATACGGCTGCTTGAAAATGCTTGCTAACATCTGTTGACTCAAAGTCAAGAACATTATTGGGTTGGCTAGAGTTTTGAGCCCAGACACGCCCTAATTGTCACTTCCAGACCATCGCAAACCGAACCAAGCCATGAATTCAAAAAACGTCCATGCAAGTCCGATTCCCACGATGCAAGCGTCGCCCCCGATGTCAACTGGGTCGTGACTGGGTCTGTCGACAGTTGGAAGGAAAACTACTATATAGTAACAAGGGCATCGCTACGAACGTAGCTCCTGGCATTACTACTACTTGTATCAAGAAGCTACTAGGTTGGAGGCCATCGGTAGTAGTAACAAGAAGCTACTAGAAAAGCCTCGCTTGCCCGTCGATCCCGCTTTACGCCTTTTTCGACGAGCCCAAGGTTTCCACTGAGCGATGCCACAGGCGCGATGCCCGGTGCGACCGGTGCCGTTGTTTGACCTCTTTGTTCAAGGAGAAAAACATGTCCAGAAAACATCGGGATGAGAAAATTGGGGGCCAACTTCCTTGTGGCTAAACCTATGCTAAGCTGCGAAGGGACATCCTCCAGCTCGACTTCTCAGCCTTGCTCCGTGGAACCTGCACCTGCCGGGTTCCCGCCCGGTTTTCCTCCCTGCATGAGGCACATTGACGCACAAAAATGACTCCAACTGGCTGAGATGGAAGTGATATGTCCTGTTGGAAGGCTATTTTCCTCCTATCTGTCATACCAAACTTCTTTAAACACTGAATGGATACCAGGTACCACCTGATATGAATGAACGGTGAATAGGTCTGTCGAAGAAAACTACGCCACGCGCCCCCAGGTTTCGGTTTATTCATTTCTTTCAACCAGTGGTTGGTGGGCCGACGAAATCGGACCAAACCACCGAACCGACGCATCTGGCCGAAGGGATCAACGTGGCCGAATGGATCAATCTGATCTGATGAAAGGGAGCTGTTTTGCGCTTGACACCTTTGAGCCGTGGATCACTGGAAGTTCACCCAGGCGTGGAGACTGCGGCGATGTCAAAGCCCTACCTGGCCGCCCTTTGTGCGTTGCCGGGGACACAAGGGGGATCAGAAGATCTTGGACGAAGCCGAGGACGAGGACTACAGGACAATGGAGAGAAAAAACACCGGGAAGATGGCCCACACGGAAGCTGGAGACCACTGGTTTGTGGAGGAAGCAGTCTTCCAAATGGTCCATTTTCAGGTTCCATGTTGATCTTGCGGGGTGATTGAGTCAAGAGTCGAAGAAGGTTTACAGAGATCATTTCCAAAATTAGATGGCGAACATGGTGAACATGATGATCGATGATGATCAGCCTGGAGGGCTAGTACAGTGGTACATGTCGAGGTAAGGATAGACCAGTCTCTTTGTGTGTAAACATAGCCTGACTCATCCCGGCATTGATCCACGTTCTTTCCGTGGGATTTTAAGTTCGGCGGATCAACTGATTTTGACATACAGAACCTGCAGGTCTGTGGTAAGTCCTTTCATTTCTTTGGTCCCGCCCGGTCTTCGGAGCCATCCCTGCGGCGGGGATGGGTCTGTCAAGCGTCAGAGGATATCAGCATGTCTCGGGGTCTACAAATTAAATGAGAACGATGACAAGCATGATCAGCATTACTGTCCTACTCTCTCACTTTAGGACTACTTGATGTACTGACTGGAGCTTGGAAGACCTTTTTGACCCATTCTTTACTGGCAGGCCTGTTCAGGGCCAACAGCTCCCACCACCACCGCCTGCCCCGGCTCGAGGCCTTGGGCCATGGCAGCCAGTGGTGCTGCCTCCTGGATGCTCCCAGTGGAATCCTCAGTCGACGCGGGGGTGTTAGATAGAGATTTCCCCCAGAAGGACCAAAAGGGGCGGTGAATGGAGACCTTTGGCAAAGCTTGAGCATTCTATTCTTCTTTAACTCGACGTGCATTCTATTGTTTGCTCGTCTCTTCGGCTCAACATGCTAGGTCGGAGCCGCGCTCCCCAGCGCCGTGTGGCCCGCGCACTTGGACGTTTGATGTTCCCGACTGGACTGGGCCGATGGACGTGGTCCGACATGGTCGACTGTCGCATGGTGTCACGGATTCTTTTTTTGCTTTTCTTACTCATGCCCCAGAGGGGAACCCCCCTCTCGCAATTGTGGAAGGGTCAGGGGTGAGCATTAGGTGTCCGTGCAGATGGTGGGCATTTCTTGAGACCTGTAGAGATCAATGGTGGGCATGGTGGTTTTTGGAGAAGTCCATTTTCATCAATTTTCCGCATCCTGACACAATTGTTGCATTTGTATGCATTTGTAAGCAATCGTATAAATCAAAACTGGGGAGAATAATGGCCGTTTCGTGACAAGCTTCGCAAAACGCCCCTTCCCTTCCCTTCCCTTCCCTTCCCTTTGAAGCTCAATAGCATGAACGAATTGCTTAGCCCGCTTATCCAATTCATTGCTTTTCTGAATCTATCTTTGATTTGCATTCTTTCGGGAGATTCCCAAGTCCAACGTCGTCAAATCTCGATCGCAAGTGTCGGCAGACAGAGTTTCCACCTGTCCAGAGCACTTCTGGCAGTTTGGATTGATAGTTCAAGACCGTGAAGAAGAAAACGACATGGACCCTGAACAATCCTGAAGATGGACCCTTGAAAGATGATTTTGCTTGACTGAGTGCTTTTCAGGGTCCATGTTCGTTCCATGTTTTTCAGGGCCGCCTCTTTCCTTTTTTGCCACCGGAGGAACACTGATCTGCTCCCGAGGTGGCACACCCTGCAAGCCTTCGAAAGGAGCCCGAGTGCTGCCACCTGCCGAGCCTCGGCCGTTGAGAGGATTCACACCTGAGGATCAATGCCAAGAGGGTCCTCATCTGGTGTGATTTGTTGATGGTTCATTGAAAAAGCTACCAGAATGATCCAGAATGGTTTGAAACATGGTTTTTACATGCTTTTACATCGTCATGTTTTTGAATCAGTCTAAGCTGAGTTCACGAGTTCACCCGTTCATGAGTTCGACCGGTCCCAACTGGTCCCTCGGTCACATTCGACACCCGGTGACGATCGGCGCTCGGTGGCGCTCGGTGGCTGAGGACGATTTTTTCTGGGTTCGTTGTGGGGGATCTCAGAGAGGGACTCCGTGCGAGGGACGGGCTAACTCATGGGTTCAGGACGGTGCGTGAAGGTGGACACGTGAGCGTGAAGGTGACTCTTGGGACACGATTTTGGGTATTTGCATTGGCAGTTTCTTCTGTGCTTTGTGATGCTTGAGATGCTGATGTCGCATAGTCTCTTCGTGAGCCATCAAGAGGCTGGTCAATGCCAGCAAGATTAGGACTTCAGACTGTAGAGTGTATTGTCCTGGGCATGTGCCAACCAACCTCAAGTTCAAACAAATTCCTCGTCAAGTTCTATTCTACTGAACTAATCTGTGAGCCAATCAGCTCAGGTCCTACCTGATTACCTTGCTGGGTTTGCTTACTGCCTACGCTCGTGTTGAGAAGCCCTCCGATGACACCGTGTGTCAGGCATGTGAGCCGTGTCCGCGGACCATGCTTGACAGGATGCTTTGGACCCGCTAGTGGTTCATTTGTTTTCATTTGGGTCACGACAAACTGATTGACCACAGAACATGAGCAGAATAGACTAGTGGGGAGGTCAACCTACCCTGGTTTGGGGCATCGGTCTTGCGCAGCATGTTCGGCGCTTCTTACGCGTCCCTTGCCCTCTGGGCGGGTGCGGTAAGAGTAGGGTAGTCGTGTTGTTGACTAACAGAACGGAAAGAAACTAGCGGTGAATTAACCACGCGGTATCTCGCGAAGTAAAAGCAGTAACTAACTTACACAGACGGCATATCTAGAAGGGCCCTTTAGGAATGGGCACCCCAGAAAAATCACGGTTAGCTCTCCAAAAGCGACAAATTTTATCACTAGAATCGCATCTCTGTTTGAACGGAATTTCTTCAAGAGTTTCATGATTAAACATCGACACTTGGAGCGGCAGGTGAAATGGTCGGTTTGGGGCTCAACATTTTGACCCACAGCCATTTGGGTTTGGCTCAAAATATGGACCGTGACCGTCAGCATGCCTTTAGTGTAATCTATATAGCAACCTTTTTCATATAGCAGCGGAGTTGGCCGCATGTTTGAGCCATAGCTATCTAAGTCGGGTCTGTCCCAGTTTACCTGCAACAGTCAGTAAACAAGCAAATCACTATTTTTGAACAAGGCCTCCAACCCAACCATCATCATCCACTGAGGCCCTGGTACCCCATCATGATGTGGTAGTAGCAAACACCAGTTTATGTCGCCTCTTGACATGTCGCCTCCACGATGAAACGATCATCTTTATATAGCGACTGAAAGTCGTAGGTCGCGACCTGTTGCAAAAGGTTGTTGTGGCAGTCCATATTTGAACCAAAATAGAGCCACAGTTGGAACGTGGTCCACCAAATTTTAAAGAAAACCGATGTAGTCAAATTCTTCAATCATTTTAATGTTTTATTGATTTTCATTTTGTGCTCATATGTTAGCGTTTCAGACTCGTTGCAGATTTCCAGGCAAATGAGGGCAAACTGCACTTTTCGTTCTGTAGGGATTTCCCATGCAAATGATTGGACGTGAAGCACGACGCCTGAAGGAACCGAATAAGATAGCCAGCAAAGCGAACCAAAATAACTCAACAGAAACAACATGATGATTCCAACGAATGCAAAATGACAATCACGGGTGGCTTGCATGGGCGTGTCACTTGCAAAGAACCTCATAAGTCTATAGTTGCAGCTTTTGTGACTATTGTGTATGTGATTTGAGGATGTGCCCAACATTTGGGAACCTCCCAATGATCCCACATGTTTAAGGGACAGTGCAGCAATGCAATGATCCACTTTGGTTTCGCCAATTTGTGGACCCAAAAATAAGGCTCTAGCGCAATGATCCACAAGGAGCTCTGCCTTTTTGTGACACGAGTGACACCCCAGATGCGAGAGATGTCGCCAGCGATTGACGATGTCTTCGTCGTTAGCCCCACACCGCCTGCAGACTGAACACCAGAGCCTCGAGCCTGCCTGGAGGGTCGGAGTCTTGGAGAGGGAGGCCACGCGATCGCTGGGAAATCGAAACAAGTGGGATGTGAATGACCACCGGGGGGTGTGAATGTCTGGGATCATTTCTGGTGGGCCACCATGATGGTTCTGAGACTCCCTGGTGCACCGGATCCTTGGCATAGACTTGATTTAACAATATATATATATGTATAATATACATTATATATATACAGTATATATACACATGTATTGTAAACCAATTGTAGGCAAAAAAAACACCTACGTCAGGTGATACTGTACTGAAGATCCTCGGCGTACTATTCCCATCACCAGCCAAAGCGCCTAAGAGCCTTGGTTCAAAATCGGTCGAGCGATCCCCCAAGCATGCATTGAGGTTCAGCTTCGCTCCTACTTGCTGAAGGCTTGTCCTCATGAGCAGGCCCGGGCGTGGTTGGGTACAGAGAGGGGGAAGCTAGGGGTAACCACAGGATGCTTGCTCCATCCAGGAACTTTGTTGATGCGTTGAGGGATTCCCTCCATAAAACCTCAAAGCTCTGTTTTGGGATAAACATTGAGGTAATGTATTCTTCCAACGGACATTAAATCCCCTGGACCAAGAACAATACAAAAACATGGGGCAACACGGCAACACCCTTGAATCCCCAAAGAAGGACACCTGCAGGAGCAGTTCGACCCTTGCAAGGATAGGAACGCGACGGCCTCCAACCTAATAGCGAGGGCCTCCAACCTAATACCATCCCTCCAACCCAGTAGCCCGTTTTTCCCACATGGCGACCTGACCACTGGAGGCCTCGCGGGAAGTTCTTGGCACCGCATGGCAGACGGGAGGAGCCCGACCTGTTCGGGGTGATCGGTGGGAGAACTTGGCTGACTACAGGGATGTTTTTTAATATTGCCGGATTTCTGATCATTCAACGAACATGAATTTCAAGGATGCTTCAATATTTTAATACTATGTTGGACAATAATAGTTGCCTTGGCCAAAGATTGGAACTTTTTGCAGGATGTCCCATTGCCAAACCTCCGATCTAATGGACAATGAATCTCCAAAAATATATTTCTTAGAACACATGTTTTTTTGTTATTCTTTAACGTGTATTCATATTGCATTTCAATATATACAAATATTAATATCTATAAAGTTATATTATATACATGATATAGTTATTATATAATATATATACACACACACCTTAATTTCATATATATAATATGTTATATAACATATTAGTTATATATAATGTATGAATGATTATATGTGTTCTCCCATGAGGATAGCATGCATGAAGGTCTATCCCACCGGTAGCTTTTGCAAGACAGGCTGCCTGGCCTCTTCCTCACCAGGGCTCCTCGTGGAGTAGGTGAGGGGACATAGCATCTAGGCTTCCTCTTGGCTCTTGGGAGCAGGGGGCTGGTGGCCAGAGAACACTGAATCACTCCCGGCTCCCCTCGTGGGGGCGGGAGTGGTGAAAGGTTTTAGGTATAGAAGAAAAGGGGGTGCCCTTCAAGGCTGTGAGAGGGGGATTCTGAGGGTCCCATCCCAGCCTGAAGGACTCACAGGGATTCAGGAGCAGAAGCAGAGGTTCTTCAAGAAGGGCGGAGCCCTGGAGGACTGGAATGAGCTCCTTCAAGGTGGCCGCTGGCCTGATGGCTGATCACTTGACGTGGATAGATGCCGGCCACCATGAAGATCCATGGGCCTACGCTGAATCAGTCCTCAGCAAAGGGCGTGTTTTGGAATATGAGTGTTTCGATTGGAATGGCGCGTATGAGGATTGAAAAGTGATGGCATGAAGTATATGAAGATTGGAGATGAGGATTGACGATTGGGGCGATGTTGCCGAGGATACTTTGTTGGAGATCACCTGGGTGCTATGAGCGGTATGGCATGAAGTACCTGAATGATGGCAAAGGCTTATATCGCCTTTGCAGGGGAGATCGGAAGAAGTGCAAGGACAAGTTACCTCGAGGCGATCGAAGGGAACTGGTCCACATAAGTCGTACTGATGATGTCAGAGATGAACTATAGCAAGAAGGTGACGTTGGAGGCCATTCAGAAGTTCGTTTGACTCATGGTCGGTCAGGGTACCTGAGCCAGCTGCACCGCCCAAGAAGCCGGATGGAAAGGAACCAGGAGCTGACCCCACGGGGCTAGACAAGAAAAAGATGAGAAGGAGTCAAAAAGGGAAGCGAGGAAGGTCGAGGCGACCCAGGAGCTACGAGGTTCTGTTGGTGCGCTTCTTGAAACACTCCAGGAAGCTGCTAAGGAGCGGCATGAAGGAGCTGAGCCGGTACTTGGCAAGCAGAGCAGAAGGAAGCACCGAAGAAGAGAGCTGGTCGAGTTGCAAGATGATGACCTTATGTGAATCAGGTGGTGGTGGTTTAGAGAAACCACAGAGAACTCATCATTTTGGGGACAGAAATTGATATGCTGATTCAGGGGAATTCCCGCAATTGGGAGACCTCTTGATATACAACTTGAAGGCACTAGAGATAAGCCTTTAGACAACAATTGGATGTCGGCCAGGCATCAAGGCGGCCACCCTGACTTCCAAATTAGAGAGGCGGAAGGGCGCAAATATGGACGTCATAATCTTTAAATTGGTGGAATTCATTAGCAAAAATAATGCAAACAAATAGAAAGAAATGACGATACATTTGAGAAAGATAATCCCGTGATATTATTAAAGGAATTCAAATTGAATTAAGAAATCCCGAAAAAATACGTTAGAGGAAGATGGAATAAATATATGGGATTCTTTAAATATTTATTCTCAAGGATTATATGGATTATTGGAATTATTAAATTTAGTAATAATTTGGAATAATTATTTGGGAGATATTGGGAAACAATTTTTGAATTATTGATATAATAAATGAATATATATATATATTTATTAATATAAAATATAATAAATGAATAATTTTAACATTATGAAGATTAATATATTTTTTATATATGAAGAAGGATATATAGAAATAAAGAAATTTAAAGAATATATTTTTAAATAAAATTGAATATATAATGAATATATAAAATATATCGAATATTTTTATATTGGAAAATTATATGGAAAGGATTTTGAATAATATTTATATTATTCTAAAATATATTGATATAAATTTTTTAAAATATATTAATTATGAGGAATTTTCTAAATTAGGATTATTTTGCGAATTGCATTGAATTTATTTAATAAAAAGAATTATATTTTTAGAATTAAAATTGCCATAATCACTCACATTTTGTAAGATGAACTAGATGTGAAACTATGTCGACGGCCTTATCGAAGGCCCTTTTTATGCCAAGAGAAAAGGTGCGTAACTTCGCGTGGGGTTTTTAAGTTACGAATCTAATGCTTTTTTAAGTCCACCTAGGACCACAGCGTGTGTGGCCTGGTTGTTGGCCGCTATGGCGAATTTATTTTGGTCTTAGGCGGTGCAAGAGCGCTTCATGCTGGAGTAGGCGAGACCAGAAGATCTTCCATTGATCCTTGAGGGTGATTCGGGTGTCAGCGCCACGGTGGAGTCGGAAGAGATGATCCCGGATGCTCATGATCTTCTGGACTTTCTGAGCTTGGACGTGGACCAGGAGAACCTGGAGGAGAAGTCGGTCGACGACGGCGGCCATGCAATCAGTGCTGATGAAGAACAGGATGAAGGCCCACAAGAACTTTGGAGAGATCCTCAAGAGGAGTTCCAGAAAGCCTTGAACATCCAACCAGGCTGGCCTGAGATCACGAGTGACTTGGGCGCACGGGGCTCAGCTGGTCCTCCAATGCCACCGACGAGCTGGATGAGGAGACCTGTGGAAGGTGAAGATGGAGTGATGGCATGGCGATTGAAAGAAAGGAGGCCGTGCGGGGACCATCAAGTACCAGGTCAGCAGCCGGAAAAACATCAACGGCTTGATCAAGGAAGAGGACGACGTGATCCACTGACTCGGATGGATGGTCACCAGAAGGCTGAACGACAAGGAGATCGTGAAATACCAGGTCAATAGCTGGGAGAACACCAACGGTTCGATCAGGGTAAAGGTCGACAAGATCGCCTGAGCCGAGATGATGATCTCCAGCGAGCGATGGAACTTCAGGTGGTTGAAGAGCTTCGAAGGCAGAATGAGGAGCTTCGGAATGAGGTGAGGGCCTTGAACGAAAAGATCGCACAAGGTCAGAACCGCCGAGGTCAGACTCCTACCCCAAGGACACCAACGACGACAATGTTCACTCCGATGGAACAATCTCTGCAGGTGAGAAGAACTCCAGGGGGTACACAGGTCCCTCCAGGGACACCACCGCAGACATCGGAAGAACTACGGGGTGAACTTCCGGAAGTTCCACCTTGGCCATGGTCGAAGTTTGAGCATGGCTGCTCGGCGGAGGAATGGTCAAGTTGGGAACGCCAACAGCGTGCACGACAAGAACGAGGTCGTGAAGTACATGAGAGGACCCATGGAATGTTGGGTGCAACTGGCAGCCTACACCGTGAAGAGTGTGGGGGCACCGACAGGGAGGTCCTGACCGCGGGATTCATCCCCGATGGCATGAACTATGAGAAGATGAAGGACGCGATGGCTTTGGCTCTGCATCTCGAATGATGGAGGCAGAGCAAGACAGGCGAACTGGGCTTCATGGTACATGGGTGCCACATGATGGTCCTAGTCGATTTCAAGCGACTCGCCTACAATGGGTGGAGCGAGATTCCAAAAGCAATCGAACCATCCTGTTCCACCCAGGAACACAATTGATCATTGATGATTCTGCCTTGCCGGTGGTTACGCCACATTATGAAGAATTTTATAGAAGTCTGTAGCTCTTCGGGTTAATATATCCATTAAAGCGATTTGCACCAACAACTTTCGAGGCCATTGCAGAGCAAGACATTGTCCCCGCAGCCCAACGAGCGGACTTTCATACCGGTCCGCGCTAAGTACTAAATGAATGAAATTTATTTAAAATTTATTGTATAGGTTAAATTGGATTTTTTTAATATTATTTAAAATCAATTTTTATAAATATATTAATAAAATATAATTTTTTATCATAAATTTATATAATTTATTATATTTTATTTACGATTTTATAATTTGGTAATAAAATTTATTAAATATATAGGAAATCTAGTATTTTTATATAGGCATAATTAATTAATACATAATTTTACCTCGCACCTCCATTATTGATTGCCTTAAAATATAAATTTAATAATTATATATTTATAGAATATTTAATCGAAGTATATTATATACAAAAATCATTACATTATATATTCATTAATTAAATTTCAATTTTTTATTATAATTCGATCACTTATTAATTTTCTTAATCCCTTTCTTCCTCCATTCTATAAATCATCGAAATCCTAATCCCCTTAAAAAAAATTAATAATAAATATTAATTATATCTATTAATTAATCCTTCTACCGGACATTTTAAAATATATAAATAAATCTTACAAAGATTTTTTATATCATTTTGCCAATATCCAATTTAAAATTCAAATTATTTTTTAAAACATATATTAAATTTATATAATTATATAAATATATTTATATTTTTAATTCTATAAAATTCAATATCAATATTTATAAAATATATTAATATATGTTTTTTATAAATTTCATTTCATCCTATATATCAAATAATAATAATATCTAATAATTATTCTATATATATAAATAAATAATTCAATTTTTTTTTTCAAATTTTATATTTATATTTATCTAATATTATATGTATTTTAACAATATTATAGAAATTAATAATAAATATTATATACAAATTATTTTTTTCTTTACCCTATTAAATATATCGATCATAAATATAATCAATATAAAGCGGATTCCTTGAATGATATTCCTAAAATATTTATTTCAAGATTGTATAGATCGATATATATAAGTAGAGGTTGGGTCCCGGAGTTTAAAGAATATATATAAAATGCCTTTGGATAACAATTCATAATTATAAAGTATATATATATAATCATAAATGATCACCTTCTGACAATATAAATTGTCCCCCCCTCAACCCTCTCTTTGCACATATGGTTCTTCAAATATGCCTCAACAACAAAGGCTTTTGGGGCTTTATAAAATGAATAAGCCATGCTGGGATCTATACTGCTGTTGATGGACAAAATCATGCACCACCTCACCACTTTACTCTGGAAGGGTCGCATAGCAACCCCCGTGCCCCCTCATTCAATGTTGGCGCGACCCCTCTGAGGAGGTGGTGCAGGATTTTGGACCTTCAACTTGTCTTTTTTCTCACTGTGGTGGCCCCAATGTTAACGAGGGAGAACGAGGGCAGCAAGAAAAGTGTGCGCAAAGTGGTGCACGATTTTGTCCATCAACAGTATCTCTTATGTTTTTCATCTATGTCAGATTGGGCAGGAATCTATTTTATAGCAGCTGGTGGCTTCATGAATTAGGATGCTTCATGCATTTAATCAATATTCTAGCAATACCCGCTATGGAATTCAGTGTAGCTGATGTGGAAATGTCCAGGAATGTCCAGGATGTTGAGCTTGCTGGTTTGCTGCCCTTACAGTCAGTCATGTTGATGATCGATGCCATTGAACCAATTCAAGGGAATTCGAATCAAAACGAGTTGAGAAATGACAAAAATCAAACTCTACCATACTCTACCTTCGCTCGCCCACTCCATCTTTATAAAACGAACACTTGGAATCCTCCATCATCCTCCATCTGTATAAAATGACAACCTAACACATCAGGCAAATCTTGGCTGTTCGCCCTGCGACGCAAGATTTTACAAAACTAAAGGTCACATTTGGACAACCAAATCCAATTTTCACACTCCTGCAGCCTACATGCCCAAGTGGTTTGCATTCTATAACAACTAAGGCTTACATAAATTGGCTGCCCCCAAGCCTAGAGCTCCACATTTTATAATGTTTATTCCCACCAGGACTATTCATCTTAATTTGATTTGTATCAATTCTTTTCGATCGGATGTTGGAGTCGAATTCGATCCGATTCAATCAGTCCTCGCACCAGACAACATGCGTCTTCTCTTCGCCAGTGGCCTGAGACATGGCACGTGACGCTCACAATGCAAGTGGTTGTCTGAAGAGAGCCAATCAACAATTGTCCTTTCCAAGGTCCGTAAACTACAATTGTCAAGTCTCGCGTTGTTTCAGGCTTTTCTGGAGTTCTGAACCTAGGGATGTCCTATCTACAACCAGGAAGATTACCTGGATTTGTACTAAGTCAAGTGTTTGTATCAGGAATATCACGTTGCCTCCAAAGGATGATGATGGTTGAGTGTCAGTGACAAACCAGCAGCTAACTGCTTCACCACCCAGGGGGCGGAGGCAAAGCACCCTTGCACGCTTGCAATCCGCGACCGTACTGTTAAGCGCGCAAAAAACCGGTTGGACACACATCCCCCTGAAATGGAAGGTGAGCCAACTACACTGGCCTTTGCAGGAGAATTCCAGCCTTTTTCGACTTGAAGACCGCAGTGACCCATTATGCCCAAACCTGGAACCACACGCTTCGCCTAGCGCGACTTCTAACTCATCCCCTTCTAGACGCATCACATGACCCTGCACCAGATCGGTGGGTTTTTGCAGCAGAAAGCAGGCGAAAGCAGGTGGGCTCGATCCCAGGGCTGCCAGGCTCATCAAAGGAAAGCAGCAACTCCTGCACTGCCACTTCACCTCAGTACTCCATCTGCGAAACACGGGCAACACATGTTGGAACATGTTGGAACATGTTCTGTCGCCTGACAGAGTGGTTTTTGAAGCGTCCTGACCCACCAAACAGAGTTGCTCTTCTTCGGGGCCAGGCCCGCATGAACCTGACTGGGAGCTGAAGAATGATAGTGCGCCATCTGCTTCAGTCGACTTAAGGTATAAGCAGTTGAGGAGAATCTCAAGCAAATCAAACAGCAAAATGGACTATCAATTTACATAATGTGCTAGATATGAAATATTATGAAATGATATGAATCAATTACTATATCAGAATCAATATCCTATCTATGTGGCCATGTTCACCATTTAACAGTTCAGATCTTTTCAGATAAAGGTCTATGCTCAAAACCACCAGTTCCCCACCAAACGGTTCACCGTCCTCGGTGCCCGGCTCCGGCAAAGCTCCTTGAAGGACTCAGATCCGACGACCTCGCACCCGAGAGGCGAGGCCTCGGGTGAGACCTGTGGATTGACCTCCGGAGACAAACTCTTTGGTCCAGAGTCAAGGCCTTGGTGCCTTGGTGGTCCAGAGGAAGTTTGGCAGAAACTTCTTTGATCCAATATAATTATGTGAAGCTCGTTTTGTTTGCTTTTGGGGCGTGAAGTTTGGCAGAGAGAGAGAGAGAGAGTCAGTTTGTTCCAGTTTCTTTCTTGAAATCTCGAGCGGCAGGGACCTTGTCTTCATAGCAAGCTGCATCTGGATCGTGGTTTTACATGGAATCGAGTCACTCTGGTGAGCGTCATTTAGGACACATCTGAAGCAAACGAACCTCCCATCCCATCCTTATAGCCTGACGATCCCTGACTCACCATCTACTCATCTTCAACATCCCTGACTCGCCACCCTCAACCTTCCATGTTCATTCCTAGAGTGCTCCAATCACACCTCTCCCAAACATATTTATAAATCCCCGGCCCAAGACCACCAGTTTAGTAGGGAATCATACCTACTAAAGGACACGCTCTACGGTCAATTGCACCTGAGACATCCTGAGACAATCATCCTCTACACACACACACACTGTGAATCACAGAGTCACACAGTCACACATGCTTTTCCACCAAACATGGGACGAGTTCGTCGGAGTTTGTGTTCCTTCCCCAGGATTGGGTGCAAACCACTCTCAGGAACCACGCATCTCTCAGCTGCCCTTGCATCCTGCGGACGTGCTCAAGATGCAAGAGAACACGTGTTGCGAAATTCACTCCAAAATCCTGTCGCGACTCCTCCCCTTTCAAAGCTGCGACACCAAAACCGTGTCACAACGGGCCAATGAATTGATCGATGTTTCTCTGAAACGGTCGGTCCTTTCGACGCACGCCTTCACGAGAGTTGGCACCTGGCGGAGTTGGGAACCGAAGGGGTGCCCGCCCACGGGGTGCCGAAGGAGCAGCTGCGTCCTGCTGCGTGCTTCCTCCTTGAACAAATGACGGACATGTCGTCATCTTGGCGAACTCCCTGAAAGATGGGACCTGATAACTCTGGTTGACCGCGGGTCATGGCTGAACAGATTCTATATGTTTGGATATGTTTGGGATGCCAACTGAAACCACGGTTTGGTTGGGTTGCTGCGCTTGGACTCACAGCCATTTCACAAACCGAAGATCACGTCCACAACTCACACTTATTGGTCGAAATCATTCGGCGAATGGCCGTAGTTTGACCATTGCTTGGCCCACTCAGCACAGTTGGGCATCCTCAGGTTTTTGTGCACCCAAGTTCGGTGTCCTTTTCGACCGGTGAGACCGGACACGCCCCCGCGCCTTGCTTCGCACGGACACGACGGAGCCGAAGGTGATCAAGGCATTGTCCTGCGCCGTCTCGGTCGCGAACGGGCCGAACCGGGCCGAACCGGAAGGAAGCGAAGCGAACGGTGCGAGGACCTCCAATTGTCACACCCAAAATGGATCGGAGAGAGAAAACAACGCCTGGAATCAGACTCCTCTGCTAGCGATTGATGGACGCAAGGCCCTTTGCTGCAAACGCTTGTGATGGAATCGATTCTAACATTACTCCAGGTTGGCCAGTGTTTCCCCCGTTTCGATAGAGACATCCACAAACTGGATTCTTCCAACAGATGTTATGAACTTTTATGAACGTATTTGCTTGTCTTAGGATTTGGATACGTTTGGATCCTCATCGCAACCGGTCTCACCGACTCTCGGCTCAGCTCCAGCGTCAGGCCCTGCATGATCTTCCACTCGCAAAGCCTCGTCAAGTCCTGTGAAGCCGCGCTGGAAAACGGGGCCACGCCTTCGACAAAGGAAAGACTGGAAGATTCTAGATGCATTTGGGTGGAAGATCTAATTAAGTGAGCATTTTAAAGGAAGCTTTGTGCTTTCTTTTAGAAGGCACTACTATAGTATGTAAGGCTAACAAGGCCCTGACAACTCCTCCAGAAACTGGTACAGTATGTTCCACCACAATCTTCGTTGGAGCACTGTGAGATCTGAATCCTCTGGCAACTATGGAGATGGAATTGGGAAGCTTGATCGGCCAGGCCCATTCGACATGCATACATCATTCCAATTGAAGTATTTCAAGCCGGTGACCATCCAAAAGGCAATCTGAGTGTCAAACAAATAAACAAGCAAGCAAACAAATAACAAACAAAACACACGTATCTCTCTCTCTCTCTCTTTTTTCTCCTCCAGCATAAACTCCACAGACAAGTGGAGGACCTGACATGGCCCAAGGCCGCACACCACGGAGAAAACGAGGAAGTCTATCGAAATCATTCGAACTCTGACAGATCGGAGAAGCAGTCGAACTACAGATAGTGCGTACGGACCAAACCGGACCAAAGCCGGACGTCGAAGCTCGAAGCCACAGCCACAGTCAAGGGAGAAGCTCTGTCTTGAAGTAAAAACTGTTTGATCTATTGATGGTCTAGTCAAACCAGTCCACTGAGTTTTGACATCACTGGGAAAAAGGAAATGACACAAACACCACTGATTGCAACACTTCCTCCCTGAGAGTCTCTTTGGTGTAAGAACAAGGGGTTCCATGGGGTTCCCTATTCTTATCGATACACCAGGATTCACTTCGCAGCAGTGCCAAAGGTGGAAATCCAGGAAAAGGTGCCTCTAGGGCTCCATGACCCCGACCGGACCCCAAGCATGGGCATATATGGGGTCCATCTGCTGTTTCAGTGATCCAGAACTTTTGTAGCGCTGCCAAGGCTGTGACTTCCAATGGATCCGCCTCCTCGAACAGGGCCTGGCGACCAGACCGAGGTTGACGAGAAGACCCTGTCCCGCCCACCGGAAGAAGACCACTGACTGCACCGCTCCTTTTTCTGCATCCCGTCCGATCCATCTTGATCAAATCCAGGCGATCTCGCAAGGGCACGAATCCCACTACCTCCCTCAAATCAATTTCCTCCACTTCCATGAACTCCGTCTTGGACTGCACGACCTCGGCCCGTCCCACCGAGCCGTCCACGGCGGCGTGGAGACGCTGCAAGGCCTTCGTCAGGTAACAGTAGCTGCCGCTCGGCCGCAGGCGCTGCGCCGCCAAGGCTTGCGCATTCCGCGCAATGCCTTGAGCGAAGGCGTCATCTTCGAGCAGGCGTTGCAGAGTGGGCACCAAATCCTGACTGACAGGAGGCAACGGAAAGGTGGAAAGAGTCTTTAAGAGGCTTACGTGACCAAAGATCGCATCCAACAAACTCATAAATAGTGGTTGGACCAACCGTTGGTCCTGGAAAAATTACAAATAGAAAAACATGAAGCCAGGTCAGGTCTTTGTTTGCTGCAGGTCCGGTCCGATAGGTCAGCACCAATCAACGTACAGAAAAACTCTTTGATGGCACCTAGGATCGGTCAAATTGGGTTGAATGGGAACGTAGTGTTCCCAAGGCTTCAGCAGTGGCCACAGGTGTTCGAAGGTCGCATCTGAGACCAGCAGAGGCACGGAACCGGACCGCAGAACATGAGTCAGTTGATGAGATTGAGTAACTCCAGGAGCAATGAGGATGAACTTAAACTTCGGGGCATGCTCCCAAAAGTCTTGCGGCATCATCCGGGCGCGAAGATCTTTCAGCAGAACTTTAAGATTGTGCCTGCCCCATTGTAGCTCCAGCGTTTGGTGAACTCCAGAGTAGGCCACGTCAAAGAGTGATGGAAACTTGTTCGCGAGCTTCATTAGTCGCAGTCTGGGATGAAATTCTGCAGTGCTTAGGAGTGTCATGCTTGGAGCGATCATGCTGCCTCTCCACCACAGCTGTCCTCACATCTCCAGTCGAAGAGAAGAAGCTACTGAGGACATTTGTCTTTGCAACAGCTGTGTTCTCACAGTCAAACACCAAAACGCAAACCGTTGAAAGAATCAGTTTTTCACCTTGGTCTCCCTTCTTCTGCTGCCAGCTGGGTGTTTCTGCTTCGGTGTCCAGGAGGCCCTGCAACAGTGCCCGAATGTGATAGACCGAGGGCCAGGGAATGGTCCAAGAACTATCGGAGCCGCTGGGATGAAAGATGGGCACATTGGAGTAGAAGACCTCGTGGCTTGGCGAATCGTGAGAGGTTTTCCCAGGGATCTGGGTTTCTTTGCGTTCTGGCTGAGATTGGGGTTGCGAAATAGGTTTATATGTGATATGGGTGTATTAGAATAGTGTGACCCCTCAAAATTGCTGGGTTCTCGTGGAAATTTGTTCGTCACCTTGTCTTCAAACCCCGGGCCCCTGAGATGCAACCATAGTTTGTCATATTTTGTAGGGATCCCTGCCATGGAGAGGTGGAGAGGTCCAAGGAAATTTGGATCCCATCCTGAATTTCATCCAAATGGAAATATTGGGTCTACACAAATTTCCAGAGTCATTTTGGCTGACAAATCTCATCCTGGCAAAACAAATTGACTCACTAATTCTCCTCCGCACTCTTGAAGCAATCCAAAACGCTTTGAGCATACCACACGAAGCCGGGATAACGATCGAATCTCAACCTCTTGTCATTCCGGTCTGCATCAAACCTACAACCTGGAATTGACAAAAAGATGTTGGTTTCCCCAGGACCTCGAAACCAACCACCTCACAGGGTTCGAACGAAACACAAGAAGAACAGGACATACGAAACCCAAAAAACACACACCTTTTTGTGACCAACGGTTCGTCCCATCCGTCGTCCCATCCGTTCGTCCGTGTTCGGATGGCGGTGGCCGGCCTGTGACGTGAAAGGTTCATCACCAAAGGCCAAGAGGAACTCCAGGGACAAATCGATGACTTGGAGCAAATCTTGAAGCAACCCAATGCCTCAGTGGCGCTCGCCGCTTCAGTCCGGTGTTGGGACTGGAGAATGGCAGTTGACTTCCCAAAAGAATGGCGTGTTGCTTCCTGGAGACGTGCGACATGTACATGTGGAACATCCCAACGCAAAGGGCAGAAGAATGCGACCAGTCTCTTGGCTTCCAGATGTTTTCATTTTTCGACTTGTCAAACACGAATCCTGAAGAGTCTAGATGCTGGATGTCATCCTGAGGTACCGGCTCTTAAACTCATGATTGATTTTCATCCAGATGTTTAATGTTTCATCCTGAGGTACAAGATCTCACAAGTTTGGCAGCTTCGGTGAACAAAAAAAGTGAAGGAGCCTCACCTTCGTTTCACTCCGAACCATGTCATGTCTCCCTTCCTGCCTGGCCCTCTCTGCTAGATCCATTACGCACTCTCTAATTGAACTGAGACGGCAATGAGCTGAACCCTTCGTTGAGCAAAAGGCGGACAGGTGAACAGGTACTTTTTGTTTTCGCAAGCTATTTTGGTGGGTTTTTCACATTCGATTTTTAAGCAACAAATGTTTTCACACTACCAAGATGCCTTCGGTGTGTCGACGTTGGTTCGGCGCTTGACACCTCTTCCGCACCGTATGTGGCACATAGTCAAGGAGAGGCATGGAAAGGAGCAAAGGGAGGATTAACAGATTTCAAACACATGCTGTCTTGCGGGGAGGACCTGTCATGGAAACAATCTTAAAATCCTCAAGAACCTGTGAGAAACTGCTAGCAGGCCACACTGGCACTTCCATGAACAAAACACACACTGGCACTTCTTCTTCCCTGCGTGCCAAACACTTGCTTTTTCGCATGAAATCCGGGGATTGGCACTGCCGACCTCCGCGGAGTAGGCGCTCCGAGGCGCTCTCTACACGGAGGAGTCGGCGCACCGGCACCGAAGTGGAGAGGCTGGCGTCTGAACGAATGGGACGGCGAACATTCCATGCAATTCACATGGATTCACTAGCGCTTGGTCTCCACATGTGGAGGGTCAGGGAGGCAAATACATACAAAACGTTGCGTCATGAACCTGCTTTGCTTGGACCCACCCTCCTCTGAGCCTCTTCAAGCAAATCAAACAACCTGACGACCAATGCTGCGCGACCGATCAAGGTTGAGGTTGCGTGATTTGTTCTTGATGCAATGCATGAAGTCTTCGCAGTCTGGGAAACATGGCTTGGCCACTGTTGGAAGCCCTTCTGACAAACTCTGGTTCAATTTTTGGGCCTACGAGGGAGCCCAATCCCAAACAAACCATGGGTGGGGTTACAGTTACAACATATACTGTAATAATCTGTAATAGTAATATATATATATATAATAATATGTACATGTTATACAATACATCTCTCTCTCTCTCTCTAACTCTCTCTCTCTCTCTCTCCCCTCTTCCCCTCTTTCCCCTCTTTCCCTTCTTCCCCTCTTTCCCTCTTTCCCTCCGTTCTTTCTTTCTGTCTTTCTGTCTTTCTTTCATTCATTCATTCATTCATTCTCTCTCTGAGTCCCTTTCATTAACAGCTCCGCATATTTCCGGGTTTGATCTTCAGACTTCGTCCAGGATACTCTCCCGCAAATCTCGGTGACTTTTGAAGCCAGTCTTCAACAAATCTTCGCAGCTTCCAGCGGAAGCACAGCAGGACATGTAGATCTTCCGCTCAAGAAGGACGACGCGGAAGGCATACAGTGGGGCTACACGAGCCACATTGATCTTCATCAGGGGCAAGCGCCCACAAAACCTCACTGGGTAAGCGTTTACCTGCCTAAAGATGTTCATCTCCCACTCTACTGTTGAAGAACCAATTCCCCAGCATCATCCCATCAGATTCCCGCTGTCGACGTCCACACAATCGCCAAGAAGCTCCTTGAAGACGTTTGGATTGAGCTTCTCAGTTCCCCAATACCTTGGTTTCGCACTATTGACCTGGTATCCAAACCAACACGGCAAGAGGAGGCTTGAGATGGCTTTCCTCTCCCAACCAGCTGAGTGCTATGTTCCTCCAAAACTGTCAAAGGCCTCTCCAAAACCAAACCAATTGAAAAACCCAAGCTGCGCGAATGCTTTCTCCAAGGCCGGCTCTTCCTCTGAGCAATTGAGCACTTCATACAGTTCTGTGGCAGACAGACTCGGAGCGGGGCAGCTGGCAGGTGGCTCCGCCGCCAGCGGCAGCGGCTCGAGCGCGTAGAGTAGCGGAGTCGCCCAAATGGCCCGGAGGGCCATTGGAGCGACGGCGCTGGAAGGCGAGCCGGTGAGCCCAAGAACTCTCTGCGGAGCTCTTTTCGGCAAGCTCCGAAAAGATGCCAAATACATAACAGTTACAAGTTATCAGGCTTACTTGCGTTACTTGGCACTTGGGACAACCCTGTTTGGAGATCAGAAGGCATAGGTTTTCATCATCAATGTTCTTATAGCTAGCACATTGCTCAAAAGAGCATGGTGATTGGCCTGCTTATCAAGCCAGTGACAAGGTGTATTGTCCCTAATTAATCATGGTCCTGCCAAGTGTGTCACCGGGAAAATCATTCGGCCTAGTCAGTTGGCCTTCCAGTCCTAGTACAACTGGGGACATCGCCTCCATCCAAACACGAAGGCGGACGCCGTCCGCAGGGACGGAAGGATCTGTGAACCGCATCTCAGTGATGGCGAACTAGACACATGGCTTGATCAAGTGATGTGCGAAGGACATCAGTTGCAAATAAGGGGCCCCTTTGGATCACCTTTGGATCACAAAGAGTATGGAAAAGGCGACCATGTTCACGGAATCAGTTCTTGCATGTTCTTGCGCAAATCCCTCTGCCAGAGATTTCATCCATGGCATTTTCGGGGCCGAACAGGGTTCCATGTTCCAGGTTTGTTGGATCGACAGTGGTGCATCTTCTGACTGGTCTCCCTCACCATCACGTCCGGCCATCGACCCGCACCCTCCTGCACCTAAACGCACGCACGCAGCGACCGTCCGAGTCGCACGGTCCGTCTGCCTGTCCAGCTTGCCCCGCAGAGTAAATGAAGCGCAACACCGCTTCGAAGGCCGGCGCGGAGGCCCTGCGAAGCGGTAGACAGGGTTGTTGCTGTCACAGTTAGGCCATGGTCGGAGAAAACATATGCGAACTACATAGTCCTAAAATGTCCTACACTACTCGACTGGCCTTCTATTCTTTCACACACAAATACTGCATACTGCAATCGAATCCTAGGATTGGAAAACTGCAAAGAAAAGTCGGCCTAAGATGAACTTTTGACCTTTCTTTGGATTGACTTATACCTCCAACGAAAGGTCAAAAATTCTTCTCCTGTCACAGGTTTGCGCGACGATGATCATCCAGCAAACCGTCTTTGCACTTGCCCAAACAAACAGTTCTGCGTGGAGGAGGGTTAGAAGTTCCGAGGGAGAGTAGGTCTTGCTTCATGACTTGTACTCAGCCCAGATTCCGGAAGAATTACGATACAGAGCGATACAGTGTCAAGGGAACGGAACGGAACCTGAGCAACGATCGAACAACGGAAAAAGAAAGCAGGTACCAGTTGTGGAACACAGTTTTGTCACTTGGTGATGAATTGAAGGCAGCGCCATGATTAAAGCATGGTCCAATATGTTTAGATGAATATATGATGACTATATATATATATACATAATGCTATATATATATATTGTATATATGTATTACCATGTATTACCATAATTACATCTCTTTCTTTCGAAAACAAACTCGCATTTGTTACCCCTCCATGTCTGACCGGCCCCGGTGCCCGCCTGGGGATCGGCACCTCGAAGGCTGCACCCTGCGCGGAACCAAAAAAAAGAAGCCGGTGGCGGCGAACTCCGAAACGGGGGGATGGCTGGGGATCATAGTAGTAAGGCCAGGAGCCCCAGTAGCGTCCTTGCTCCCAGTAGCCCCTAGTAGCGTCCTTGTAGTAAGGCCAGGAGCCCCTAGGGTTTCTTTGGGTTTCTTTAATCCTTTTAACATCTGTTCAATGTAGTCATTGCATATAGACTTTGACCAACGCAAAGCTGGGACGAACACTGAAGTCCGGTCTATGGCGAGCGCAAAGGCTTGCTTGGGTTGGTATTGTCTTTGCAAACCTATATATATATATGATATGATATGATATATGATATATGATATGATAGATATGATATGGTATGGTATGATATGATATGATATATATATACAGTATGTATGTATGTATGTATGTATGTATGTATGTATGTATGTATGTATGTATGTATGTATGTATGTATGTATGTATGTGTATATATATGTAGAGAGCTCTGTTTTGGGTTCGCAAGACTGATTGCCGCAAACTTCTATCCTACATCAACACAGATCAGAAGGAGAGGAGAGACTCTCTTCAAGTGGGACGCAGGACATGCGGGCCTCCCCTTTCTCCTGTGGACAAGCTGCCTGCAGAAGACCTCAAATCCTTATCGTCAAAACATCGTCTAACAGGATTTTCTACTTCATCCAAGCAAACCCCTTTGTTCTTTCTTTGTTTGATTTGCTTCGTCAAAAGACCAGCACCGTTCTTCTCCCTTTTGTTCCACCAAACAGTCCGGTGTGTTCCGACCGCACATCGCCGCACACCTCGGACATCCCGGTGCGCAGCATCCGCTCGAAGTACTCGGAGCGAGCCGCCAAGAGGAACTTGTCTGCCTGCCGAAACTCGGCGCAGGTGCCGACCATTTTGACCATGGAGGGAGAGGCTTCTGGGTTTGGGAGGCACCCAAATTCCTTGGAGTCTGAAGGCTGGTTCCGGGTGGTTGCAACCAGGTGGGCAGAAGAAGAAGAAGAAGCGTGTGGTTTGGAGGGAGAAAGCGGATGAAGAAAGGGGGGAAAGAAGAGAACGTCGTGAAGGGTTGCTCCGCACACATGGATTGGGCTGACCAAAAGGGCATCTGGAACCGGCGTGATTGTCAAGGTCCTTATCTAGTAAAGGAACAACCACCAACACCTGCACCCATGTTTATGTCTTATCGGTCTTATGTTTCATACAGTATATAGGAATCTTTTGATTCCTTTCGAACCCGAAACCCACCTTCCCACCTTCTCCCCCCGCGCTGGAAGCCGCTTTTCCCCCAAACAAGATCTGTCCCCGCCGCGCCGGCGCCGGCACCGGCGCGGTCGTCGCCTGCAAGGTTCGGCCCTCGACGGCGAAGCGCACCGCGCCACTGGGATACTTCGAAGGGCCTGGCGCCGGATCGGCTTCAGCAAACGACCCATGAAGTCCGTAACGGTCAACCGGTCGATATACGGAGACGGGTCGACGGGTCGACGGCATATAGGAACGAACATGAAAGAACTATAGGGTGAATCGATGGGTGAAACTCGCCATTTGCATGACAAGGGGCGTAAGACTGGGTAAGACTTAGACTTCGGGGAGGGGAGTAGATTAGAAAGGAAGACTATCATGGACCTCTTGCGCCCCTTTGGGCACGATGTGGGACCAAAGCATCAACATTGGAAGATGCAAGCCATCTTCAACAATCACCACCTTTGGTGGGGAAGTGACAGATTGCCTGTCTTCGGTATTCAAATTGACCCAGGTTGTGCGAATTTCATGGACACCCCAGCCTGCGCCTGCCTCCAGACATTTGAACGCGCTTTTTGTCGAACCATCTGTATGGCCATTCTTCGCGGAAACAACATTATCTCCTTTGTAGATCTTTCGCGGCCTCATCGCGAAGCATGATCCTAAAACCGTGCCAATAGTTAGAACGTGATTGAACTAGTTTTTAATATATGTTCTTTATTTTTTATATTTTTTTATATTTCCCCACATCTCTGTGTGGGGTTCTAGTTTTGTTGGCTGCCATCCCGCCCGCATCCGTCCTTCCTTCCCTCCGTCCTCCTCGCCCCC